GATACTTAGATACTTAGCAATGACACAAATTACACTTTCATTAGATATTATACAAGTGAGCATCTAAAAGAAAATCTAGGGTAGAGGGGAATATTTTCCCCAAGCATGTAAGAACACCTGGTATTTGTGAAAGTGTGGGTCTGTGTCTGATTTTACATGCTAAGATGGAAACAGGAAAATGTGGTCATGATTTAACCTTCAAATTCACTCTCTCCCTTGCCAAATATGAGTCCCTTTTTAAAAAACAAAAAGGGAAGAATTATAAATCCATGTTTTTACTGGTAAAAATTGTGTGTGCAACCTGGTTTGCAAGAAAAAGACTGATCCTAGTGGGAGCGAATGGGACACACCAGGAGCTCTGCCCATCCGCCCATCCGTCTATCTGTCCATCCGCCCATCCGTCCATCGGCCATCCGCCCATCCGGATGGCAGGGGCTTGCTTTTGTTTTTCCATGATCTGAGGATTCCAAGCAACGCAGGGCTGGAGGATTTCATTAGTTAGCAGGAGCACCTGCTGGTATCAGTGAGCTCTAACAAATACAACAGTCACATGACAACCCATGGTTGATAGATAAAAAAAAAATCAACACTAAAACTGCAACTTGTTTTGAGAAAAAACAGGGAAATAACTGTGCAACAGAGTGGGTATCTGCTGATGCTGATAAAGCCCCCCTCTGTTGGCAGCGAGGGCCAGCAGGGTGGCGATCTGCACAGTCTTTGGAATCAAGGCCCTGGGGTACACCTTGCCTTGGGAATAGCACTGCAGAATGGTCCCAGGAAAGTGTCAAATCTCAGGCTGTGATTTACCCACAGTTATGACATTTCTTTCTCAAGAGGGACAAAAAATATGCCTCATCTTTCACCTGTGAGTCCTCCCCGCTCCCCCGTCCCTCCGCTAAACTCCTCTCTCTGTTCACAGTGTCATTTTAGTATCAGATGGGGGTTTATCCTGCATAACTGATCCGGGCCTCTCTAAAAGCTACATTGTAGCAGCCTGAACAACAGAAGATCAGAAAACAGTTCCCAAGCAAAGGCACTTTCCTGCCATGCTGCACTCTGCAGCCAGGAGGAACCCGGCCCGTGGCAGCGTGAACGTTCCCCAGGTAGGAATCAACGTAAGGGCTCTGCGCACTCACAGGAAAACAGCACTGGACAGCAATGTCCCAGGAACTGCAGGAAGATTCCTCAGCTAAAAATGTCACGACAAATGCACCCTGTGTCAGGTCAGCAGTCTGGGCCAAGGGGCATAGTCACCCCTCACGTGTGGCCCTGTGGCCTCACGTGCCACCACGGGAGCAGCTGTGGGAGAGACTAACATGTTGACTGTCGGATCCTTTACAGAAAAGTTTGCCATCCGTCCTAAAATAACATTCAGTGTGGGATTTTTTAGCAGAAATGTATGATTAAAAATTATTAATAAGAGGTTTTTCTGAGACATCAATGCTCTGCATAGTCACAACCCTTTCCTGGGTACAAGGTCAGAAATGTCTGGATGTTTTGAATGATCCCTCCTTAAAAAATACTTAGATAAATAAGAAGAGAAGTACTAATATTTTTAAAGAGTACTCAATATGGGTGAGACTCTTTACATGATGCACCGTTTAATTCGGACGGCCCTGAGAGGTCCCTACTATTTCTATCACCCCAAACTACACGGACTGATACCGAGGCTCTCAACTGCTGTGCAACCAGCTCCCACACCCACAGTCAGTGGGTTCACCACCCAAGCTGCCTGTCCTCAAAGCTTTCTTTGTTCTGAGGGTCTTACTTAGAAAGCATCCAGCTAATGAATGTCTTGCTTCTAGGCAGAAGGTCCTGTGTAGGATGAGTGAAGAGCAAATGCTATGAAGCCAGAATGCCTAGGTCTGAATCTCAACCCTGCCTCTTACTAGCTACGTGACTTAAAGTCTGTGTGACTTAGTTTCCTTATCTGTGGTTGGCAGCAAGACTTCAGGAGCAGCACCTTAAGGTGCGGGGAGGAGTCAAGGAGCAGTGTAGGAAGCACCGGGAGCTGTACCCGTCGCGGTCAGGGCCACTCCACTATGCACCGTTACCAGGGAAGTGAACGGTTACCAGGGGGTGCGGAATCAGGAAATTGGAATGCAGGTGAAAAAGCCTATGAGGCAACACCGAAATCCAGACCAGAGCAAGGCTACCTGTGCTTGGGTAAGACGGCCTTGGAGAACCCAAGCACCACTGGTATCAATTTGCTCACCCCATAAAAAACACCTCCAAAGAAAGAGAGCACAGAAGAGAAGAGTGCCGAGGAGCCCGAGGGGAAAGCTTGGAGCATCCCTTCCCAGGGACAGTGACTCCTGATGACTCTGTGGAGAGAGGCCACACGGTTCTGGCTGAACCACAGGCAGGTGGCTTTTTCAGTCCAGCTCACTGGAAAGGTGGCTTTGTCGAAGCCACTGTGCTTCCCTTCCTAGCTGAGCAGAGGTGGGTGACAGGGACCTGCAGGAGACCTCAACCACAAGACTACCCTGGATTTCCAAGAGCTAAAATCATGCTGTAGAAGAAAATCGAAATCCTGAACTTGTCACACCTGTGACCAATCAAATTGTAACCCAGGAAAGAACAGAGAATACCTCTGAGCTCAGGGCTTTTCCTCACTCAGCATCTCCTCTCCCTGTTTGGCTTACGCTACCCGTTGTGACCCTAGGGAGCCAAGTCTCTGCCCGACCCATGCGGTTCAGGTAGGTGGACAGATCCGTCCTTCTGAAGGAGGAGGTGGGCAATCCCAGCTCCCTTGCTGGACTGGCTCACTCTGGGCGAGGGTGGTTTGCCCAGGGCTTTTTCTGGAAAAGAAATGCACTCTGGGATTGACAAACTTGTGACGTGTAAATATGTCTTCTTTAGTCAGTCCACTTGGAAAGCGCCCAAGAACAAAGGCAGCACAAAGAAACAGAGCCAGCAAAGAACCGCTCGAACGGCCTGTTGGGCATCTGGATGCAGCCACAGGGAAGCCGGCCACACGTGGACTCCTGGTTAGGAGGCCGAGTACCATCCAGAATCCCTACCACTTCTGTCAGCTTAAGCCAATTGAAATTGAGGTTCTACAACCTGCAAACAAAAGTCTTCTGGCAAATATAAGTCAATAAATAGGACTAGGAAACACGTTAAAGTTGCAGGTTGGCTGTGGGCCTTCCAAGTCCATCGAGCAAACATGAACTGAACACATCACATCACGTATACAGCACTGTATTTGATGGGTGGTTCCTTATACAAGAGCCAGACTCCTAACATCATTAGAAAAGGGCTTTCTTTCAAACAGGAATCAAGTCTAGGCCTCAATTCTAGTGATCTTTAGATTTGTTTCTTTAGTACTAGATGTGGTTTGAAATCGTGCTATCTACTTGTGGCAGTGGTCTTTTGCACATAAACATACGTATACGTGTGTGTGTGTATGTGTAGCCCCTAACCACCAGCTCATGCAATAAAAGACCTATGATTTTTGGATTAGGGTGGGAATACTCTGGCTATTAACAACATTTTTTAAATGGGTCACATTGGAAAACTGCCCCTTTTCCGGTGATTCTAAAATTGATACATGTCACTGAAAATATTGACAGCAGTTACACAGTTCTAAAGACTTTATAAAAATAAATCATATTTATAGATGTTTATCAAGCCATTCTATAGATGAGTGAAATTAGCACCAAGATGGAATTTAAAAGTGGTTTCTGCAAAGATCTTTTTCTTTTAACACCTAAATAGAAATTGGCAAATGATCAGGAAATAACAATACACTGATTCTATGAGTGATTTATAAGAGAACAAAGCCAAATAGCACTAATTTGAATCATAATAATTGCAAAGGGCTGTTGCTTAATTTAAAATAAAATATCACTGATCTTGACTTGATATTCAGAAACTATAGGCATCTCTTCCTAAAAAATTTTGAGTACTTACGTTTTAATGAACACATAATGCTGTTAAAGGAAATAAAGCTGGCAACCCATGAAACAGACCCCAGATTTCCACTCCATCAGGTAACACTAGTATCTCTCTAAGGGTGGCTTTTGTATACCATTCGTACCCAAGTCCATAGAGAGAGAGAGATTGTTCTAATGATATAAAGACCACACAAGACCAGACACCTACATGTAAACTAGCCTGCCTCTGCTCCTTGGGGCTTGAATAGAGACAAAAGGCAGAGGTACGACCCTCCAACACTCAATCTGTAAACCATCAAGCACCTAGATACAGAGGAGTTACATGCACACATGTATGTGACTGTTGCACAATATAGAAGTATAACATAAAGCATTAGTGCTCTCAGTGTACATGTCAATGACTCAGTGACATTACCATGGTGGTTACACATCAATGACACAGGGCAGGGGAGGGGCACAATAGGGGGGAGCTCAGAAGATCTCACTTCAGGTAGACCTGTCAACACGTTCCAGAGAAGTGACCGGTGTTGCGGGTTCAGATGAGATGCCCACGTTTTAACTTTAATTGTGGAAGTTAAAGTTCCTGCATTCTCTCCATAAGGGTGAGAATCTGAACAAGTGTCGCCAGCATGCGAGACGAGAGTCCAGCTGCAAGCACTCCCTCAGCATCGTGGTCCACGTCTACAAAGCCGTCTGCACGAAAGCAAGAGAGCAGACCCATCTGCAAGCGAATGCTGCCCGGTGACACCAATGTGTAGACGTAGTTAGTGTGTCCCTGATTTGTTATGTAGGGACATGAATAAAAGTGAAAATTAAATAACTACAAGTTTAACATTGGGAGAATTTGTCTTTAATTACTGTCTTTCTGGGGGAGGGGGGAAACACTGGCTCTTACTACGGGCATCAAACTGCCCAGGTGCACATCCTCTGCCCCTGACAATGAGCCTGCCTAGGAGTGTAGCTGTCCCCCACCAAGACAGCGTGCCAGGCCTGGGCTGCGGCATGAGACCCTCCAGCAAAAAGGCCCGTCGTGGGGAAAAGCGTGAACAGTGGGAAGTGACGGCTACGTAAAGGAAGGAAGCATCGTAAAATCATTCTTACTTTAGAAATGATGGGAAGTCTTCGCACACTGCTTCACAGCCTGGCCACTTGCACACACCATGTCCATAGAGAGGATGGCTATGGGGGTGCTCCTCCTGGGGCACACTGCAAGAAAACACACAGGATGAGAGGAGGGACCGCGGAGAAGCACCGCCCCACAGACACACGAGGAGGGACGAGCCCACAGAGGCCTGCAGTGAACAGGAGCGAGTCTGGGTGTCCTTCCCATGGGTTTGACTGATTCATTGCACTGTTACTTTAGAGCAAGAGCTGAGTCCCCAAGTGTGAACGTGTTAGGAATGGACAACCATGTGTGAAAAGTGTGACAGGCTTTTGTTAGGTGCAAAGCTCTCAGACTGCAAAGGATTCTTTAAGAAGCTAGAATGCATTTTTTAATCTGCATAATGAAATTATGAAATCTGTGCTTAATTTTGAGATTCTCTTACTGTTTTCTACTCAGAATATTATACATTTTTCTCTTCCCTTCCACCATAAACTACTTTAGCATAATTCACACAATCTTCTCACTAGTTAATTTTGTCAAGCAAACAATGGTGCAATTAAATAATTCAGAATAATAAAATGATTTAGAAAGACACACACATCCAAGTAGATGATTAGCTAGAAAGAAAAAAAAAAGCTAATAGTGGCAATATCATCTCCCAAAAATTACTGACACCAAGTGTGAGAAAAAACTTGGCAAGAACAAGAAGGGTTAAGCCTCCAGGGTGTGGGGTCCAATCGATCCCTAACAATTTGGCCACATGGATCGAGTCCCAGGCTGCTTTGATGGGCGCCACGTGGTGCTCAGGGACGTGTATCTGTGCACTGGCTGACAAACCACACTCTCAAAGATTTCCTCTGCTAGGTTTCGGCACCCAGACTTATTTCAGACAAATTATTTTTGCAGTCGTCTCCTTAACCTGAGATTCCACCAAATAGAAACATAAAACTAACACTGAAAGTCTGTTGTACGCAAGCACATTCTCGTCAAGGAAAGGGCTATTTTGCGACTTACTCCACAGCCTCTTCCTGACTTTGACCTTCAAGCACATTGAATTATGAGTACACACACACAATCATGTACACACACGTGTCTTGTATTTTCTAGAGAGAGGAGAAAGGAGAGAAAGAGAGAGACAGCAATTGCATTCATTACATGCCCTGACCGGGGATCGAACCTGCAACCCTTTGGTACACAGATGACACTCCAACCCACTGAGCACATCAGTCAGAACACAAGTCTTGGATCTGATATCACCGCCAGGATGTGTGTTCACATATTTTATGAAATCACATTCATACAGCTGACACCACAAATGTCACTTGTCCCTGACTTACACTCCACAGCAAGCATTAAACACACACACACAGAACGACACCTTAACGAAGATCAGTAGTTCTCTCTACAGCTTTTGAACGATTTTGCTGAAAATCTAATATAATTTGAAAATAACGACAAGCTATTTTACCTTAGAAAATAAAACTGGGAACCGAACAACAACAAAAACACTGTACCAAAGGAACCTATGACAGCACTGGACAGTGCCCTCGCGAGGGAAGAGTAACACAGGTGAACCAAGACGCCCAATGGTAACAGGACGTTCTCCGAGTGCTTAAGAGCGTAGAATTCCATTGGACTGAAGGAAAGAATTACTTCTATCCATGTTAATCCTCAGATTTTTTAAATGAATAAAATAGATATGACCATGTAAGAAGATAGATGTTAAACACATTCTAATAATCATTTTATAATATATGTAAGTAAATTATTATGCTGTACAACCTACACAATACCGTGTATCAGTTATAGCTCAATAAAACTGAAAAAATAAATATGATACAAAATAGAATTTTTACAAATTACAATATTTGAAATTAAAAAATCTTTCTAGGCAAAAAAAATTCAGACATCATACACAGCAGAATTTTCACTGATACAACACCTAAGGCACGATAAACAAAGGAGAAAATGAACACATGGGACTACATCAAACTAAACAGCTTCTGCACAGCAAAAGAAACAACCATCAAAATGGAAAGGCAACCCACTGTATGGGAGAGCATAATTGCCAATGACACATCAGATAAGGGGTTAATTTCCAAAATATATAGAGTGCTCATACAACTCAACAAAAAGAAGACAAAGAACCCAACAAAAAAATGGGCAGAGGAACCAAAGAGACACCTCTCCAAACAAGACATATAAATGGCCAAGAGACATATGAAGAAATGTTCAACATCACTAATCATCAGAGAGATGCAAATTAAAACAACAAAGAGGTATCACTTCATACCTGTCAGAACGGCCACCATCAACAAATCATCAAACAGCAAGTGTTGGTGAGGGTGTGGAGAAAAGGGGACTCTAGTACACTGCTGGTGGGAATGCAGACTGGTGCAGCCACTATAGAAAACACTATGGTGTTACCTCAAAAGATTAAAAATTGAACTTCCATTTGACCCACTGATCCCACTTCTGGGAATATACCCTAAGACACCTGAAACACCAATCAGAAAGAATATATGTACCCCCATGTTTGTAGCAGCACTATTTATAATAGCTAAGATCTGGAAACAGCCCAAGTGTCCATCACTAGACAAGTGGATAAAAAAAGCTGTGGTACATATACACAATGGAGTACTATGCAGATGTAAGAAAGAAAGATCTCTTATCCTTTGAGATGATATGGAGGGACCTGGAAAGTATTATCCTAAGTGAAACAAGCCAAGCAGAGAAAGACAAATGTCACATGATCTCACTTATTTCTGGAATATAATGAACTAAATAGGCCCAGAGTCATAGACGTAGGGTACAGACTGACAATCCTCAGAAGAGATGGTGGGGAGGGAGGAAACAGATAAACCACAGAACTTATATGCATGTATGAACATAGACAACAAAGCTGGGGACGGGGGGTGGGGGGAGGGAGGAGGGTGTCAATGGGGAAAAAGGAGAAACATCTGTAACAAAAATAAATTAAAAAAAAAAAAAGAATCTTTCTAACTACTAGAATTCCCACCTATTCTGATAGAAGGAACTCATTTAAAAAAAATAATATTACCAATAGCTTTAAAAGAAAAATCCTAACCATAATAATTTTCTTTACCAATTTTATTAAGATTATTAAAGTACTTTCATAATGGTAATAGTTTATTGTAGAAAACATGAAAATTGTTGAAAACAAAAAATTATACTCACATATACATATTTTTAACAATTTAAAGCATAAAAATTTGTATCATTCTTCTACAGTCAACATAATTTTGTAAGTAAATTCTCATGTTATCAACCAGCCTTCAAGGACCTTACATACTGATGTGTAATAGTCCATTATATAATATCTTACTTAGCCTTACTTACCTACCCAAACTATCTAACCACTCATCTTTTTGGACATTGAGATTCCTTTCGTGTTTCCTTAATTTATGAATCATGTTAGAAACAAATTTACCAGGTTAAACATCCCAGTACACAATTGATTTTTACCAGACGACACATTGAGGCCACTCAGTTAACAAGTTCTGAGTTTTAAAATTTACTGTGAATATTCTATCAAGTTGCTCTTGAGAAACGTTGCCAAGTACATTCTTAGCGATTACACATGTTTTTCTGTGAGTCTTTAAGCAGGAAGCCTGAAATCTCAACTAATAAGGATATAAAATTAATATCAATGCAGGCATACCTCGGAGGTCCTGCGGGTTCGGTTCCGGGCGACTGCAGTAAAGTGAGGCATGTGATTATTTTGGTTTCCCAATGTATATAAAAAAGTTATGTTTACACTATTCTGTAGTCTATTAAGTATGCAATAATAGCATTATGTCTAAAAACCAATGTACTTACCTTAATTGAAAATACTTTCATACCAAAATATGCTAACCACTACTGGGCCTTCAAGGAGTCATAATCTTTTGCGGCAGGGTTGCCACAAACCTTTAATTTGTTAAAAAAAAAAAAAGGTATCTGTGAAGCACCATAAAACGAGGTCATCCTGTAGTTACAAGCTGCTGCGTGGGCCGAGCCGAGCGCGCGGAGCAGCAGTGCCCCGCGCGGGAAGGCGGCCGGCGCCGTGATGTCACCGCTCCCGGGCCTGGCTGTCCGGTGAACACCCTTGTGCAGGCTCCACGGCCTGTTATTCGGGCTCCTCGAAGCTCCTCTGCTCAAGAATGTGTTTCTGGCTCAGCTTGGGAAGGGCGAGCAGCCTACTCTGATGAAGGCGGCAGAAGGGCAACGCTGAAGTGCAGAGGAAGTCCACTGCTCAGTCACTCAGAGCACCGGGAGACTGGTCTCCACGCTGAAACCTCAGTCACAGTCCTGCTATGAAAAGGCCTGTGCTCTGGCTTTTCAAGTTCACACAATGCTGAGCAGGTGAGGCCTGGCGCCTCCTCCAGCCGTCGACTGGCTGCCACCGCCCTGCTCCCTGACTGCCCTGTGCATCCCAGGGCATCACCATCCACAAACATGGAAAGTCAACTGCTGTCACTTGTTTTCACTTTTAACAGACGACTGGATACTTTTAAATATACAATCGTCTGAAATAAAGTGCGCAGCTTTGGAAACAGAAGAAACAGACTGGCCATGGTGCTCTGACTGAATGTCTGGGGAAACCTGGGCTCAGCCACACTGTTGCCTCTGGGGACTGGGACGACGGGGATGGACTGGGATGGGGACAACGGGGCTGGGCTGGGACTGGGACGATGGGGATGGACTGGGATGGGGACGACGGCGATGGGCTGGGAGGTGGGGAAAGTGCATTTTTAGCCTATCACTTTGTTTCTTTTGAAGTTTTTGTTTTGTTGCAGGAATTTTCAACAGTACGACTGGAATCTTTCACACATATATACACAGGTACACAAGAAAATCAACTGCTCTGCCCACCTGGGTTTCAGGACGCTGTCGTGGCGGGCGGGCCGGGGCTGCAAGCGACCCGAGGTGGGCTCTGGCCGCCACCATCTGGAGGAAGCACCAGCACACCCGCCAGCCAGCCTCTGAGCCTCAGCGTCGGGTCTCATCAGAACAGTGGGACCAACATGTCTGTTCAGACTGCCTTTGCGACTTGCCAAAAAGGACGAGGAGGGGAATTTAAAAACAAGGGAAGGAAGGT